CTTTCTTTCTTTCTTTCTTTCTTTCTTTCTCTCTCTCTCTCTCTTTCTTCTTTCTTTCTTTCTTTCTGTCTTTCTGTCTTTCTGTCTTTCTGTCTTTCTTTCTTTCTGTCTTTCTGTCTTTCTTTCTCTTTCTGTCTTTCTTTCTTTTTCTTCTCCAAGCAGGGAAGTGGGACAGAGGGAGAGAGGCTCTATTCTCATTGCAGAGCCCAACCCAGGGCTTGATCCCATCCCTCTGGGATGGTGACCTGAGCTGAAATAAAAAATCAGATGCTCATCTGACTGAGCCACCCAGGTGCTTCCACTAGGACCAATTTTTTTTTTTTAAGTTTATTTATTTTGAGGGAGACAGAGACAGTGTGAGTGGATCAGGGGCAGAAAGAAGGAGACAGAGAATCCTAAGCAGGCTCTGCACTGTCAGTGTGGAGCCTGATGTGGGGCTCAAACTCACAAAACCATGAGATCATGACCTGAGCCAAGACTAAGAGTCATATGCTTAACTGACTGAGCCACCCAGGTGTTCCCAAACTAGAACTTTTTAAATACTGTTGGAGGCTGGGGATACTAGTACAACCACTTTGGCATTATTTAGTAAAGTTGAGGATGTACACACCAATGACCTATTTCTCTGGATACACCCTAGATAAAGTCTTAAAAATATACCTGTCTACATGTACAATAATGTTTACAGCAGCAGTGTTTATAATAAAATCCTGAAACAGCCCAAATGTCCACTAACAGGAGAGATGAGCGAATGTGATAGTCATTTAGTGGAATATTATACAGCAATAAAAAAGGTAGAGCTATATTGCACCCACTTAGATGAATATCACAAGTGAGATGTGTAGTAAAAAGTTATAGAAAAGTGTGAAACACAAAAACTTCCTGCAGCCACCTAAGAAACTTTATGTCATTATTTGGATAATTTAAAAAAAATGTTGATCCAAGAACACTAGAAAACTTGGAGACACACATGAATATGCCATAAGATGATAGTTGATTTTTTCTTTTTTTCACCCTGTCCCTCAACTCCACTGAGAGCGTTCTCTTATCAGTGATTGCAATGGCCACACATTGCCATCTGTTGGTCTTGCATTATGCTGCGGTCAAGCAGTGGTGTGACTTTCTGAAGTTGACAACTCTAGCCTTGCAGAATATTGTGTTATTTTTATAATTTTAAAATTTTATTTTTATTTTTTGAGAGAGAGGGGTGAGGGGCAGACAGCTAGAGAGAGAGAGAGAGAAAGAGAGAGAGAATCCCAAGTAAGCATCACTCTCAGCACAGAGCCCAACACAGGACTTGATCCCACGACTATGAGACCATGATCTGGGCTGAAATCAACAGTCAAACGCTTAACCCAATGATTCACCCATGTGCCCCATGGCCTTGGAGAATGTTTTTGATGACTGCCTACTTCAGATGACTGCCACACTATAGTCACCACTGTGAGCAGCACCATGGTTGACCACTTCCTTTATGAGGTGCCTGCTTGGATAAAGTTACATGTAGCCATAAAGGCAAACATGAAGCCATAAAGGCTTCAAATGTTTAAAGTCTTGGGGCACCTGGGTGGCACAGTCAGTTGAATGTCCTAGTCTTGATTTTGGCTCAGGTTGTGACCCTAGGGTGGTGGGATGGAGCCTCACATGGGGGTCTGGGCTGAGGTGGAGCCTGCATGGGATTCTCTCTCTTCCTCTTCTGCCCCTCTCCCCTGCTCATGTGTTCTCTCTTTCTAAAAAAAAAAAAAAAAAAAAAAAAAAGTTTAGTCTTTGTGACAATAATGTTATTTCTACTGGTATCCGTTTGATTGACCCTTGTCAAATATATCTACATTACAGAAGTGGCCAAGATCTAAGCCACGGATTAGGGGAGCAAAGGCTTAGGAACCTGCAGATCCCACCAAGTGGTATAGGAATTCTCTACGGGATAGTCATGTCTGACTGACTCTCTCCTAAGAATAGCTACTTCCTTGGTGAGACCAATTTCCTTATCTTTATCCTGTTCTTTTTAAAAACTATTTTATTTTAAAGTAACCTCTACACCCATCTTGGGGCCCAAACTCACAACCCTGAGACCAAGAGTTTCACGCACTACTGGCTGAGCCAGCCAGATGCTCCCTTATCCTATTTTTTTTATTTACTTAGAGAGAGAGAGAGAGAGAGAGAGAGAGAGAGAATCCTAAGCAGGCTCCACACTTTCAGCACAGAACCCAAAGTGGGGCTCTATCTCACAAACCATGAGAATAAGACCTGAGCTGAAATCAAGAGCTGGATGTTCATCCGACAGAGCCACCCACCCGCCCCTATCCTGTTCTTAACATACATCCATACTCCACTCTCTCATCGACAGCATAAGGAACATGGACCTTAAGGGTGCACTCAAGAAATTTCTAGGTGGCTGAGGAGACATGTGACCAGAGCTACAGAGAAGCACTGCTCTGTCTTTGTTTTTTTTCCAAATCAGACTGTGTTATCTCTCTCCTTTTTGTCAGTGGAGTGCTCTAGTTACACTGCCTTCTGAATAGAGAGGCAATAACATACCTTAGAAAGTTCATGACACTAGGAGCCAAGAGACTTGGGCACTTTGGTGTACTCTGCAAATGAGATGTGATACTTAGTGGATCTGATCTCTCCAGCGTCCATTTTATCGTCTGTAAAGTGAATAGAATAGCTGACAAGAACATTGTAAGGATCAAATAGATAATTTTGGGAGTGTTTAGTGAAAACTACTCAGTGTTATATATATATTTTTAATTTCTATAATGTTTTATTTAATTATTTTTCAGAGAGAAAGAGTACACAAGTGGAGGAGGGACAGAGAGAGAGGGAGACAGAGAATCTGAAGCAGGCTCTGGGATCCAAGCCATGAGCACAGAGCCTTACCCCAGGCTTGAACTGATGAACCCAGAGATCATGACCTGAGACAAAGTTGGAGCCTTAACTGACTGAGCCACTCAGCCACCCTTGATCAGTGTTATTCTTAATCATAGTGGAATGCTTTCCCTAAGGAGGTTTATCAGTCTATATCATAACCCACCTCCCTCCATTTATATCCTGATGGAGTGCTAATGCTTCACAGCATCTTCATAAATGATGGATGAATGCATGAAGGGGCCAGAAAACACAGACAGACCACTGTTCTTTCCCACACACTCAGCATCCCAATCCATCAGCTCCCTCTTCAAAACATATTCAGAATATTCCGATACAGAATATCATACACAGATATGTGAAAATTAGGAAAGTGTTTTAATGTCCATCAAAGAAAAATGATTGAGGATTGAAATATTATGTTATATGAAATATATATGTTATATATTTGTAACGGGCAAAATTACATATGAAGGTACAGGAAGATAAACACACAGTAACAGTTATTTCCTCTGCAGAGAAAGAGTGTTGCTTGGGAAGTAGGGAATGGAGAGGTTTCCTTTTAATATGACAATGATTTGTGGTGCTCACAGAATATTAAGATATGAAACAGGGAAGAAATCACTGGGTCGGAAGCGAGTTCTAGCCCTACCTCTCTCATTAGGCAGTCACTTGAAAACTGTCTTGGTTTCCCCTTCTAGAGAATGAAAAAAGTAATACTACTGACTTCACGGTGTTAACAGGGAGAGAAGCTGGTCCTGTCTCACAGAGTCGAAGAATGAATCTCATGGACAAGAGAGTGAGGAAAGTGATGGGTTTATTGAAGGAAAGTATAAAGCTCTTGAGGGTGGGAGGGGTCCTGACTGGGTAGCCGCTGAGGATTTTTGTCCCTGGCTTTTTATTGGGACATCAGAGAGACTGTGAGGCTGCAGGCATGGCATCTAGTCCAGGCAGGTCTGAAATACGTTTATCTTACCTTCTTTTTCCCCCATACTCCGCTGCCGCGTCTTTAGCCTCCCACTTCTGGTGCATCCTGCCTCCCTTAAGGTCCTTTGTCTCCCTGCCTAATGTTAACCCTTTCCCGACTCAACAGGATGGTTGTTAGGATTACTTAGTATGAACGTGTTTACAACTGCGCCTAGCATACGGCTAGCGTAAAGGCTTTTGATTCCTGTCGCTGTCACGCCTGTAAAACGTTGCTCTGAGCAACAACTGGGCTGGAAGGAGAACCTATCGAAGTGAACAAGCCGAAAGCAGCACTTGGCCAACAGCACAGCAGGAACCAATAGGAGAGCGTGATTGGCCCCAGGGCAAGACGCCAGAGGGTCCTGTCTATTCACTGCTGAGGACTGCTGGCGATTACCGGAGGGCGGAAACCAAAGAAACGGAAATGTCCTTTAGACCGCGCTTGCGTGTTCCCTCCGCTCTTGGGGGGGGGGGGGGGGGGGGGGAGCCATTGCTCATGCGTCTGGTCTTCAGAAAGTGCCGGCATGAGCCGTGGAAGCTTCTTGTCCAGCGCGCTGAAAAGATGGCATGGCTGGTGAGTGACTTATATGAAATTGACCTTTCCTGTTCCAGTGGCCCCCGGTGCTGCTGTTTCTGACTCTCCCTTATAGCTGTCGTCTCCCGACCTGGGTCTCGGGACGTGAAGACACCCCGCCCCTCTTGGGGAGGTGTGGAGACGAGGTAGGCGGCAGGCCAGCCCTTCTGCCTTCGGGCACCAGTCCGTGTATTTCCCAGTGGTGAGGATTTTGAAAGGACCTGAGCCTCTTGCCCTTGGGATTTGCGCTGATAAAACATTCGTTCCCGGGGCTCCTGGGTGGCTTAGTCGGTTAAGCGTCCGACTTTCGCTTAGGTCATGATCTCGCGGTTCGTGGGTTCGAGCCCCGCATCGGGCTCTGTGCTGACTGCCAGCTCAGAGCCTGGAGCCTGTTTCAGTCTGTGACTCCCTCTCTCTCTGACCCTCCCCTGCTCACGCTGTCTCTCTCTCTCTCCTAGAAATAAATAAAACATTAAAAAATTTAAAAAAAAAAACACAAACATTCGTTCCCTGAGGCCCTACTGCCTCAGAAGACCACTCAGACATGACCTGCTCCTCGCCCTGAGAGCGTCCAAACTCGTGGAGAAGACAAACCCACCAGAAACACTGTGGTGTTAGATTGTTAGAAAAGGCGCCTTAAGAGAGAGTTGGAGACAGGGCCAAGGAGTTGAACGCATTCGGAGGCTTCAAGAAGGTGCTGGTGGTGGCGCCGGTACTCATCTAGTGGAGTTCTTGCCTTGTCATTGTGCTCCCCTTCAGGACATTAAAGCTTCTTTCTATGTTTCTAGGCTCAGGTACCCTTCCTCCCCTGGTTGAACCTTGGGAAAAGAGTGTTGTAGTCAGGAAAAGTTTAGCAGATCAAGGCACTATGGCTTGAAACCCCAGAGCCTGTTTGTTCTAGGACCTGAGACTGGTTCACCTGTACTGGTTCGAGAATGTGTACAGGATAATGGACAGTGAAGCTGGAGGGGTAGTTGGGGCCCTGAATGTGGAGGACTGCCTTGCAAGCTTGGAGATCTTGGCTTGTCCCATGGAGACAGGAAGCCTCCAGGGCTTTGGGACCGAGTAGTTATACAACTGGATTTGATTTGTAGAAAGTAAAGAAGTCCAGGGCCCTTGGTGGCTCATTTGGTTGAGCATCAGACTCTTGATCTCAGCTCAGGTTATCTTATCAGTTGGCAAGATCGAGCCCCGCAACAGGCTCTCGGCACTGACAGCTTGAAGCCAGTTTGGGATTCCTCTCTCCCTCTCTCTGCTCCTCCCCTGCAGGTGCTTTCTCCCCAAATAAATAAATATATAAACTAAAAAAAAAAAAAAAAAGTAAAGAAGTCCAGATCTGCTCTGTAGGAAGACCAGGAGGACAGAGGAACACTCTTATACAAGTCTGGTCTACCGATATGTCCCTAAACAGGGGTTCCTAACCAGCCATGATTTTGCCTCAAAAAAGAATTTGGTAACAGTGGAGTCAGTTTTCTTGTAACAACTTGGGAGTACCTCTGTCATCCATTGGGTGGAGGCCATGGATGCAGCTGCACATTCTGTAATGCACAGGATACCGCTACCCACCCCCTCCCCCACAATAAACACCTGTGGGGCCCAAGGTGTTAATAACGCTGAGGGTCAGAAATCCGCTTAAAGCATTAGTAGTGGAAAAGGAGGAGAGACCGATAACACAGACAACTCAAAAGAGAGACCAGTTTTCATATTTTGTATTCTTCATAATGCTTAAGTACTTGACACCTAGACACTTAATCAGTTCTGTTGACCCCAGTCTTATATTTTCTTACCCATTTATTCATTTGCAAAATAATTATACACTCCAGGTGATACTGGAGGTGCTGTGATTCAGCAGTGACCAAATCAATTCCTTGCTCTCCAAGAACCTTACATTCTTACAGGGGAATGACAGATGTTAAATCTATAAATACATGTCAGTTGGTGAGATATGTTATAAAGAAACTCCTTAAAATTTTTTTAAATTTAATTTATATTTATTTATTTTTTGAGAGAGAGGTAGAGACAGCATGAGCAGGGGAGGGTCAGAGAGAGAGGGAGACACAGAATCCAAAGACAGGCTCCAGGCTCTGATCTAGCTGTCAGCACAGAGCCCTATGTGGGGCTCGAACCCACGAACCATGAGATCATAACCTGGGCTGAAGTCAGATGCTTAACCGACTGAGCCATCCAGGCATCCCATTTTTTTTTTTAATTTTAATGTTTATTTATTTTTTGAGAGAGAGAGACAGTGCAAGCAAGGGAGTGTCAGAGAGAGAGTCACAGAATCTGAAGCAGGCTCCAGGACTCTGAGCTGTCAACAAAGAGCCCAACATGGGGCTCAGACCCACAAATCACGAGATCATGACCAGAGCCAAAGTCAGATGCTTAACCAACTGAGCCAGCCAGGTGCCCCAAAGAAATTCCTAGAAGATGAAGTTTCTCTTACTACCATCAAAGATCATTTACTCCGCACCTCTACGTGACAAGCACAGAGCTAGATGCTTTATAAATAGAATTTCTAACCCTTTTCTCATCCTTGCAACATAGGTATTGTTATCCTCAGATGAGAAAAATAGGCTCAGAAAAGATGCATAATTCCTGTAAATCAGTTCATGTGGAGTGAAGCGGGAACAGGAAACCAGATCCGTCTGTGGTCAGAAGCAGTGCTGTTTCCATTAAGCATCACTGTCATATGCCAGGCTGTTCTGAATGAGAGAAGACATTTGTACTTTTCTTGCTACACTAGAAAAATGAGGTAGAAATGAAGTCTTACATTCACCTCTTTCTCTTTCCAGAGTTCAGTTTGTATCAGAGACCTACTTGGAGGTGATTCTTTCGACTTGTTGGAACTGTTCACCATCAGCTGGAGGTGAATTCCTCTGTATTGCTCACATTCTCTCAGGTGGCTGATGGCAGATCCTGACCTCTTAAAGAGGTGTCAAGTTCGAGCTACCCCACCAGCTCTTCAGACTGCAATTACCGGCAAGTACTAGGCCTCAGGAGGCTTTCAGCCAGTTCTAGGAGCCCTGCTATTGATGGCAGCAGCCCAAGGTGCATTGAAGGAGAAGATTCTGGAGCTGAAGCAATTCCTGACCATTCTGCACAGGGAGATCCAAGCCTAGGTGAGGGTGTGTCATCTAGAAAGCCTGGAGAAGGCAGTGACCTTGGTGCAGGATTTGGACTGATGTTGGGAGACCATGGTGAGAATAAGATTATGTAAAGAGAAAGTGAGATGAGGCTGTAGGGGATCTGGGTGAGGCTCCAGGCATCTGGGAGAAGCTGGAGAAACTGGACTTTAATGTTGCTTTTTTTTTTAAATTTAATATTTATTTTTGAGAGAGAGAAATAGTGTGTGAGCAGGGGAGGAGAAGAGAGATGGAGACACATAATCTGAAGCAGGCTCCAGATTCTGAGCTTTCAGCAAAGAGCCCAATGTGGGGCTCGAACCCGCAAACCACAAGATGATGACCTGAGCTAAAGTCGGACACTTAACCACTGGAGCCACTCAGGCATCCCTTTGCTGCTTAACTGCTTGCTTATTTCCTGATTGGCATTCGTGTGAGTTTTCCCAAGAGTTCAGGCTGTCTTTCCCCTCTGCAGGCAGGGTGGTGGGTGGACAGCCAGGTGGGACCTTCACAGTCACTGAGCTTTCAGTAGGTCTCCGTTCCCAAGGATGAAGGAAGGGAGATAGTTGTCCCCTATAAACTGAACCGGTTCTGCTCTGCAGGTTATGTTCACCTGCGCAAGCTCTGTGACTGAGCACCTTCTGCTCTCAGATGCAGGGATTGCATGCCTGGGAAGCTGTGAGAACTTGAGCTGTGTCCTCAGTGTCTGAGTCACACCCATCCCCAAAGCAGACGAATGTGACTGGATTTCTGGTCAGGAGAGGGCCAGAGTGAGGCCAGCCGGGGGCTGAGGGCAGCATAGCCACGTGTCAGCTGCGGGGCTCTGCGTGGGGGCTGCCACAGGCCTCCCTGCCCTGCCCTGAGCAGAGGGGCCTCGGAAGGGCTCTGCCACCATCAGATGTGGCTCAGGTTCCTGACCTGTTCTACCCAGCCACCCACACCGCCCCCTCATTTTCATTTTTAATTCAGCTCTGGCTCTCCAGGAACCTATACTACACCTTTCTTCCCTGGGCCCATTGATGATCTCCTTCGGGAAGGGAAGGTGGCAGTTTTGTCCAGGGTGGGGTTTTGTCCAGGTGATGGTGTGTGGGCTCCGAGGAGAGCCGGCAACGCTGCACTTCTGCGGGGAGTTGCAAAGCGTCTCCCATAAAGAGAGCCCATGAAGCCCGTGCTCAGGGGCTTTCCCAAGAGAAGAACCAGACAGACTCCTGCTCAGAACGCACGGGCCATGGGGCCTTCAAAGGGAGCCCAACTCTTCTAAGAAAATGGTAAGATACAGAGTCTCGGGCCAGAAGGGGAGAGGCAGGACGGATCAGGGACGAGAGTTTATCAGTGCCTCTGACGTCACAGACATGACCTTGTAGTTGTGTCATGACCAGAATGGGGAGCAGGAAACTAGCAACGTACGTGGTGTGCAGATGTCGGGTTGAGACAGCTCGGCTGCATATGTAGGCTTCACAGTTCTGTCTGGTCTTCCCCTCATAAAGGCTTATTCCATGATCGCTCTCAGCAGGGTCAGCCTGCAGAGACTCTCCCTCTCCCTCTGCTCTTCCCCCACTTGCGTGTTCTCTCTTAAAAAAAAAAAAAATCTCATAGGGACATTTCAGGTGGCTTGTCAGTTGAGGAGGAATGAAAATACATATGAAATGATTCCAGAGTCCAGCTTTGAGGCAACAGTTAGAAGCCAGAACGACAGGGTAAGGGAGACTGGGTGCATGGATGAGGCCCCACTGTGCCTGGCCCACCCCAGAAACCACAGAGTGTTCAGCAACCCTACGTGGGATATCTCAGCTTACTGCTGCTGTGTCCTGTGACTGGGTCAAGGCTTGACTCGTGAAAACAATCACAACTGGGGATTCCAGTGGACAGTGCCTGATGCTGACCATGGATGGCCCCCTGTGGATGATACCTTGATGGCACGGGGGAGTGTGTGAGCATGCTCTGTTCCACACGAGAGCACTGATGAGTCTCATTTGCCTTTTCCATGTTCAGGCTGTAAAAGCTTCTTAGGCACCATGTCTTATCTCTACTGTAATGCCTAGCTTTTACTCTGGCGCCCGTACGGGGACACGTTGGGGAGAGTTGGTGGTAGAGGGTGTGAAATGAAGCCTCAGCGGTGCCTGCATGCTCGGGGGCCCAGGCCTCTGGCCTCTGGTGCCACAAGGATAGAGTGCTGGTGCTACCGTGCAATAGAAGGTCTGTGTCCTGAGGTTGCACAGAAGGTGTTGACAGAAAGATTGCTAAGAGTGAAAGATCCGTGTAAGTAAAGGTTTTGGAATCAACTTGACCCCCATTCACAGTCCAGCCCTGTGACGGAATCTCCATGCACATCTAACCTATGACAGCAGCATGCATTGGGCCTCCCAGGAAACCCAGGCATTACCTGGAATATTCAGTAAATACCACCTTCTGGAAAAACTCCAGAGGTGCCACTAGAACGTCCAAGTACATGGAACACGCGTGAACCGCTTCAGGGGCCCAGCGTCCTCCTCTGCCAGAGCAGGGCATCACAGAATTCCTTCTCTGAGGCGCACTCCCCACCGTGCGTACAGGCGAGCTTACTTGCTAGAGTCCTGTGTTCTCCATGAGTCATGAACCCTCATTCTGTCTGTCCACCAGGGAGCTGATGATGGGGAAAGCAAGGATTTGTGTGTGAGGAGGTCAGCAGTGAATGGGCACACTCCAGCCCAGGGTCCCTGGAGTCCCCGGCTGATCCCAGACTGGAAAGGCACTCCCCTCACGGGAGAGGCCTAGAAGAGGAGGCAAGATCAAAGGGAAGTCGGGTAAGGAGGTGGAGGGCCCAGCTCAGCTTTGGCCGTGGCCACCCTTCCGACTCTCTGGCTGTGGAACAGCAGATGAGTGGGAAGGAGGGGATCGGTAGGCTTTGGCCTGCTTCTCTGGGTTGAGAATACTGGATCCTCTCTATGGGAATGGTCAGGAATCCTTGGAAAAAGAATGCTGCCCATTAGGAAATTAGATCAGTAGTTAAAATGTTTCAGTGAGGGAGACCGAAACCATGGGGAGAGTCCCAGTATTTCATACACAGGAGGGAATAGTGGCTTCTTCGTGGTCTTAGGAAGGGCTGAGCCAAAGCAGGAGGGTCATCAACACGTGGGAGCAGATCTAGAGCCTTGGAGGTGTTACCTTGTGTATACTCACTTCAGATTCATTCTCTAGTGGCTAGTGCAGAGATCAGGCCGTGTTAGTCAATGGAGGTGGCCAGTGAGGTGTCAGGAAATGTGGCAAGCAGCTACTCCACTTGGGGCTGGGGGAACACAGGGAGAAGGTTGCATTGACAATCTGGAAGGGAGGCCTTGCTGAGCTGGGTCACATCACGGGGGTGCTGGAATTAGATGGTGCTGCCTCACCAGCTGGTGCTGGTACTTTGGAGGGTCTCATGAGGAGATTCTAGAACAAAGTGTCTGCTTCACTGACGGCTTTGTGTCTGGCTGCTACATAACCTGGTATGTTATAGGGAGTCAAATGTTTCCCAGGTGAATGAGTGAATGAATGTATTCCCCAGTTCTCACGATCTCCAGACTATGTGCGGTAGCTGACAGGCCAGGGTTGGGAACTCTAGTACTGACTTCCTTTCTGTGCCCCGTGGACTGGAGCGTAAAACAGCTGGAGTGAGGAGGCAACCTCCACCTCCAGCAATACAAGGAATCAGCAGATGCCCCTGATGCCCTGGCCCCAGCACGCCCTGGAGTGAGAGGAGCCTGCTAGTGAGGCTTCACTGGGCCCTCCATCCTTATTGTTAACATTGACTTTCACTGGTCCCGCCCATTGATCAAATCCAAGTCCTTTGAGTGGGTATAAAGTTCTTCTGTAAATGGTCCACCTTGGGCTGTCTCCCTCTTCCCCACCACGGATCTCCAGTGAAGTCATCTGTCCCCAACAGGTCACATTGAAGTGCATCTCTGCGTTTACCCAGGCTCTTGAAAGACATTTTCTTGTTTGTTTTTGTTTTGTTTTCCTGTGTATAGAGCAGAGTGTAGCCTGTCACTCTGGGAACTAGCATACATGGCCTGTCCTAAGGGCCACACTGGAGGACAGCGTATGCAGGATTCATGGGGTGCCCAGGCCAGGCTCAACTGGGGGAAACACTGAGGTACATTCTTACGTGTTGCTTTCCTTCTCTTCACTAAAATTAAAAAAAAAAAAGTATATTTTTCCTAATTGATACAGAATATTCCTTATTTATGTTCAGTTCCTCAGAGTCTGAAATAGTGACCATGATCCTTGTCACCATAATTAGACATGGTCTTAACACCTTGAGTGCACTGGCCAAGAACCAGGACAACGTGCCCATCGTTTCCCATATTTTATCTATGGAAATTTGATAGAAGCTTAGCCCTCTAGGCCTGTTCAGAATTAGTGTTTTTAGGTTGGCTCCTGGTGCTTCTCACACCCCATGTTCCCTCCTCCTGTACCCGTTTTCCATACTCCTCTGCTGTCCCTCTCAGTGACTGTGCACCCCCGCCCCCCAACCCCGTTCTGCTGCTTCTCTGCATGTCCTACTGCAGCAAAGCAGGCGCTGCCCCCGGATCCCCTGTGGGCTTCTGCCGGAGGATAAGGTTTCTGATGGAGAAAGTTCAGACCAAAGGCCAAGAGAATGTGGAGGGAGAAACACCTTTATTTTCATCAGAAGCAGTAATGCGTATGAACCTGCAGCAACCATTGACTGTACCAGGTAAGAAAGCAGGATCCTGGTGGGGGTGAGACACAGGAGAAATCTTAGAGGAAGCCAGAGGTCACACCTAATGAAGTCTGAGATGAAGTCACTTGGAGTAGTAGTATCTGGTGGCTTAAGCCATTCCTCAAGCTTTGCTCTTTTCTGGGTGACTGGGATACACAGCAATGATCTACTCTGAGGTGGAAGTTCCTGAAAGCAGGTATCTGTAGGCCATTATTGGTTTAGGAAACCAATCTAGGAGCTTAACTTCTAGATGTGCTTCCCATGAGGAGAGAAAACATCTTCTGTGACCTTCCCCAGGAACCCTTCCCAGGCCCCTAGCCTGAACCCCTGTTCAGAACAAGGTTAACCTAGTTTCCTGTCAGGACTTTGGACCCCACAGGCCTCTTCCTTGAGAGCAGACGGAAGTCCACGGTGACACACGACTGTGGGTCACAGGCAGACCTATAAAGAAAGCTCAGGATTCTTTTGCTGGTTGCTCTTCCTGCCCGTGTTGTTGAGACCGGCTGGTGAGTAAGTCTCCTGCTGCACCAGGGCCTGGCTAGCAGAAGCCTCCACGAGCGGACAGAAGCTCCAGGTAACACGTCAAACTACGGAATTGATCTGTTGGCTCTCCTACACCCCCGCTCCACGTATCCCTTCTTGGTGATGTGAGGTGTCTTCCTTGTGTGCCCCCTAATGGCATATCAGGGCAGGGTGCTTAGTGAAGCTTCCCTCACACAGAGCAACTGTAATACTTCTCCCCAGTGTGTGTTTTCTGGTGGGCATTGACGGAGCTGTTGTTGAAGCTTTTCCCACACTGTGCACGCAGGTATGGGCTCTGCCCCATGTGGGCTCGCCGGTGAGCGCTGAACTGGGAGCTGTTGTTGAATCTCTTTCCACAGACGGTGCACTGGTAAGGCTTCTCCCCGGTGTGGGTCCTCTGGTGGACAATGAGGCTGGAGCTCTGGTTGAAGCTTTTCCCACACTGCCCACAGCGGTAGGGTCTCTCCCCCGTGTGCGTCCTTAGGTGGGCAGTGAGGTTGGAGCGCTCACTAAAGCCTTTCCCACACTCGCTGCACTTGTGAGGCTTTTCTCCCGTGTGGATTCTCTGATGCCGCACAAGGTAAGAACCTCGGCTAAAGCTTTTCCCACATTCCTGACACTTAGAAGCTCTGTCCAGCTCGGGGACTGGCTGATAACAACAGAAAGTTCCTTGAGAGCAGGTTCCCCCTGCACAGGCCTTCTCTCCAGCCTGGAGTATCTGCTGCCTCTCCCTCTCCTGGGCTGGGGCTGTCCCCTCGTGCTCGCCTGGAGACCGTCTACATGGCCCTCTCAGCATAGGCTCACCCTTCCCTTCTCTCTCCGGTTCAGGGTTCCAAAAAAGGTCACCAGACTTTCTCCATAGGGTCTCTCCTTCACTTCGGCCTGTTCTGAATGCTCCCATTTTTGATTCTCTTTTTTGGTTCCATTCTTGATCTCAAGACCTGAGAACAGAAACATGCTGGACCGTGGAGAAAGAACAGAGGAATGAGGAAGGTTATAATTAAAGCACCATCAAGAATGGAGGTCTTCCCAGGATTCAGTCTTCTACTAATAATAGCCTCATTTCATTTTCCAGTTGTAATATTTTCAAGCTCCAAACCCTGTGGTCACAGGTAAATACCCCTCAACTCCACCTGCTTTTCTCTTGTTCTGTCCCTTTTTGGATGTTTGGACACAGTGACAAAACCGAGGCAGGGAGGCCAGTTCTGTGCCATCTGCCAGTCTGTCTGCAGGTTTGATCTCAGTTCTTGACAGCCTACCTGAAGGCCCTCCCGAGTTTGGCCCAAATGAAAAGAAAGCGTGTTGTGAGCACCTGGCCAGCATATGATTTACCAGGAAAGGGGGATCATGCAGCAGGAGGAGGGAAGAGGAGAGTCTGCCTGGAGGCCTGACTGGCCATCTGAGGAGGCTGACGAAAGGAGCTGCACAGGAAAAATGACAGGCCCCCTGGGAAAGAGGCTGCGGATGCATACTTGTCCTCTGAAGGGCAAGGGAAAAAGCCTGAATGCAGAGAGAGCCAGACTCCCTGGCCCGTGGAAGGCCATCCATCAAGGTGGTAATCACACCAGCAGCAGAGGCAGCCCTTCTTGATTGCTAGGCCATGGACCTCGAGGTGGACCTGCCTGTCCTTTGGGCATCAGAGCCAGAAAAGAATGCAGAGAAGGCCAGAGAATGGACCTCATGATCTCCCTAACTTCTCTGGAAGTGAAGGGGCTTGGGGGTAAGAGTGAGTGAAATGGGAACCTCAAGAGACAGAAGGGGTCAAAGCACAGCTCACCTGGGCCCCAGCTGTCCCACGCACAGCGCCCGTCTCCTGGTCTCGAAGACCCCTCTCTTGGGGCAGGTTCCTGGGAGGCTGTGCCGTCATCCAGGCTGGTGAGAAAACAGCCTCTTTTGGAAGGCGGCTGCCACAGAGCAGCCAGAGCAGGGCTGTGCGTGGGGCTCCTGGCCCAGCAGCAGCAGCGCTGGGAACTCATCACAAATGCACATTCTTGGGCCCTGCCCCCACTGCATCGGACACCCCGGGGCTGTGAGTGGATGGACACAGCCCCCCGGGTGAGTCCAAACACGCTAAGAGTTTGAGGACCACTGCCATCGCCAGTGGCCTGTGTGTGTCAAGAAGGTCCTTTCAGCAGACTCTTTGCATAACAGCTTTTATCAAAAAGGCTTTCATTCTAAAGCAGTATGTGCTCGTTACAGAAAAAAAAAAGTTTAATGGAGGAGAGATGCTCTGAGCCCAGGCAGCTAGTTACCCTAGTACGTCCTAAAAATGTCTCAGCATCTCATGCCTTTTATTTTTGTCAGGCCAACATAATATATTCTTTCCCAGAAATCTACCTTCATGAATTCTAAGGAAATGTTTCATTTTGTTGACTTCAGAGGACATGCAGAAGTCTGTGACCCTGAGGAAGTTACCCAAATAGGGATCAGAGCAGCCCGAAGATAGGGTGAGCAGGGGGAGCAGAACCTGGTACAGGGTGAGTTTTTACCCCCTTCATACTCAGACCCCCACAGCCTTGGGAACCACAAACTGGAGAGCAGTCACGTTCCAAAGGATTAAAAAGAAAGAAATGGTAAGATTTATACTAACGTTGATTATGCACAGGCCCCTCTTAGTCTTCTGTTTGATCAATAAAAGCTAGCTCATGTCAACCGTGTGAAGATGGAATGTTTCCCTCACTCTAGGATTTGTGTTCAATAAAGTGGTGGCTTTTAAAAAGTACTGGGCAGGGGCGCCTGGGTGGCTTAGTCGGTTAAGCGTCCGACTTTCGCTTAGGTCATGATCTCGCGGTTCGTGGGTTCGAGCCCCGCATCAGGCTCTGTGCTGACTGCCAGCTCAGAGCCTGGAGCCTGTTTCAGTCTGTGACTCCCTCTCTCTCTGACCCTCCCGTGTTCACGCTGTCTCTCTCTCTCTCTCCTAGAAATAAATAAAACATTAAAAAATAATAATAATAAATAAATAAATAAAAAGTATTGGGCAGGGGAGCCTGGCTTGCTCAGTTGAAGAGCATGTGACTCTTTGAGGTTGTGAGTTCAAAACCTATGCTGGGTGCATAGATTACTTAAATAAACAAAAATTATCAAAATATAATCATGGAGTACCCTATAATAGAAGTTTTCAGTTAAGCATAAAAGGCAGCAGTGGCCGTGGACAGCTCTTATGCAGCCACAGTGGTTCACTGTAAGACACGCACAAAGGCAGCCTTGGTCTGTGCATGTAATGGAGTATTAGTCAGGAAAGAAAAGGAACTAAGTAGTGGTACAGGCTTAAACCTGCTAAATGAGAGAGGGCATGCATGGAAGGTCATGTGTTGTAGGAGACCCTTTTGATGAAATCTCCAGGATAGGCAAATCCAGAGGGAGAATGAGGAGTAACTTCCTACTGGACAGTTTCCTTTTGGGGGCTGAAAGTTGTTCTGCAACTGGAGAGAGCTGGTGATTGTACAGTACTGTGAATATCCCCCGAAGAGGCGGTGCCCACTTTGTCTGCCCCACAGTCATTCTCCATCACATCAGCCTGCTCGTTCCTGGATCTTTCTTCCTTTGCTTGTGGTCTTTGCTCCATGGACGTGGCTGCAGTAGCCCAGGGACCCCACCTGTCCCGTTCCCTGTAAAGTCCCCATATCTGCCGTCTAGCAGGCACCTCAAAGCCACCTGTGTCTTTCAGAGCCACCTTCCTTCATGAAGTCCAAAGTGTATGACTTGTCCTTCAAGTGAGTGAGGAGTGTGCGTCCTGGCGAGTGCCGTCAGCTTGCATTGCTCCCTCTCCCCTCCGCTCGCTCTGCCCTTCACGCCCCAGACAGGTTTCAGATGGCTGTTTTGTCCCTGACGTTCCTGTACCGTGTGCGTTCCTGTGAAGATCCTGGCTCTGAAATGGTGGGGGCCACGGGAGAGAGAGACTGTCACCACAGGGAGAGGCCAAGGGGACCTGGGTCAGGATGACTTCTCGCAGGTAGGGGTTCCCGCCAGTCGCCTGCCCCGGCTCTGACTCCATACACGTGCTACTGCTCGCCCTTCTCCGCGCCGTCCCACGTGTTATTCATTGTCCCGACGCCATGGGTCCTTCATGAGCTTCCTCAGCTTCGTCCCTGCTGCGTCCCCACCACACGGCTCTGCCCTCTGCCCATTATGTCAACGCCACTCAATCCTCGGTCCTGTGACATGCTAAGCCTCCTCCCCATTCCCCCTCCCTCAGCCTGGGGACCCGGCTGCCTCCTCACCAGGGACACCAGAACCTCCCGTTCCAGCCGTGCCTTGTCCGCACCCAGCGAGCTGCTTCCTGTGGCGCACAGAGGGGCACAGGCCACAAGCGTTCCTCTGACCCACACGCTTCCTTCACTCTGTGGCTCTCCCAGACTTCTGACTGGGGTCTCACGTGCCTTCTTCCCACAAATCCCCCACAACCAAAGCCACGTTCCTGTTCTCCTGTGCCTTTCACAGCTCCTTCTCCAGGAATGTACAAGATCGTTACACTGACCAGATCTCAGACCGAGGCCTACCTGGACAAGTGCACACGGTGTGAAACTCCTCACTATGCCATACTGACCCGCTAACCCCGGCGGCAGCAGCTCTGATACAACTTTGTTGAGTGTATAACCATAGCACCTGCACTCAAGGAACCTTTCTTTTTTTTTGTATTATTATTTTTTTTTACAAATAGTTTATTGTCAAGTTGGTTTCCATATAACACCCAGTGCTCATAAAAATATGGAACGCTTCATGAATTTGTGTGTCATCCTTGTACAGGGGCCATGCTAATCTTCTCTGTATCGTTCCCGTTTTAGTATATGTGCTGGCGAAGCGGGCACGGAACCTTTCAGCAAGAGAGATTGGATTTTTTTTTTTTTAACTTTTTTTATTTATTTCTAGGAGAGAGAGAGAGACAGTGTGAGCAGGGGAGGGTCAGAGAGAGAGGGAGTCACAGACTGAAACAGGCTGCAGGCTCTGAGCTGGCAGTCAGCACAGAGCCCGACGCGGGGCTCGAACCCATTAACCGCGAGATCATGACCTAAGCGAAAGTCGGATGCTCAACCGACTAAGCCACCCAGGCGCCCCAAGAGAGATTGGATTTTAACTCGCCAACTCTAAGTCTCCTGATCCCCTGAGTGAGGGACAGTTGTCCTTTCCCTGGCCTTGTTTTGGAGAACTACCCTGAGCTTATATGTTCATGTTAGGGACGCTAGAATCCACTGACTATATCAGCGTGTATGTTATTTCAGCAAATGAAACAGTCTCCCCATAGACGAAGGGCATGGGACCAAGCCAAGATAGCTAAGAGTTTGTGGTGGGTGGCAGAAGGCTACTGTGCACTTCTCAGCGCCTCTCCAGTAACAGATTACTGCGCACCTCACCCCACTTCGTAACTAAATTCACCAGGTTCTGATTTGCCTTTTCTCACCTGTTGCCCAGACGCACTCCGTACATTCTCAACTAGAGCCACAGCTTCCTCACTGTGTTCGGGACACTGCTCACTCATGCACAGCTGGATCGCATGAGATTTTGAAGCACTATGGGAATCATTAAGGAAAGCGAGTTGGTAGGGTGGGTAGCCAGAACAGGCAATGGATAGGCAACTTTTTAAAAGGTGGCCATAACTAAGGGATTTATTCATTGATAACTAGTATAAATGGAGAAAGAAAAAAATGAATTTATTAGGTAATAGCTGCATTATTAACTCCAGCTGGTCACCCAGCAAAAGCGTTTGTCCCCACTACAGCACCTCTGTGGTATCTCAGAATAAAGTGTATGTATTTGCTGTCATTGCTACTCAGCTCTACATTCATTATTTTTCAAGCAGTGCCCATGCAGGGGCGTGTGATTGCAAAAGGAAAGTTTCAGGGGTTTGGTGAGGTGCATAGCAAGATTGAGCAACTCTGGCACTAGACTTCAAACTATGAAAATTGAGGGGTGACGGCTCAGCCGGTTAAGGATCCAACTTCTGTTCAGGTCATGATCTCGCAGTTCATGGGTTCGAGCCCCGGGTCAGGCTCTGTGCTGATAGCTCAGAGCCTGGAGCCTGTTTCAGATTCTGTGTCTCCTTCTTTCCCCGACCCTTCACTGCTCACGTGGTCTCTCTCTCTCTCTCAGAAATAAATAAAAACATTAAAAAAAAAACCAACTTCGAAAATCATTACTGGCCCTCATTGACTATTCACCAGTTTGTGCCTTCTTTCTTCTAGCTTCACAGGGTCTCATTTCCCACTTGTCTCCCATCTTCCCCAACCAACTCAGTACCCATGGTATGAATCAGGTCTGCCAGTACCATGCACTGTGTTCTGAATAATAGTAATTCAGGATAGCTGCACTTTTGTTCCGTGGAGAAAAGCTTTAATTATAAAGGAAAGGGAATATTCAGAATTAAACAGAGTAATATAAAGAGGGGGAGAGTATAGAGAACAGAGAAGGGTTCATACACCAAATCCGGTGCTCACAACATCCAACCTTCTGGCTGGGGGAGCCCCGCGGTGAACAGCCTGGTTGGGGTCCTGACTGACCGTACTGGGCACAGCTTCCTACCCTCAGCTGAGGCGTCTAGCTAACTGTTCCCACGCGGGCGATACATGCCGCACCCGTGTGTGATCTCTGGGGAGTCATGAAGCCTGCCTAAGCCCAGTCCCCAGCCGACTGGGTTTTTTCTGCTTCTCTTATCCTGTTTCACAATCTTAGGAGCCTGGACATCTGCATATTTTTCTTCTTTCCCTGATCCATTCAAGGGACCCTTCATGGTCTGGCTCAAGAAGGTGAGTCAAGTTATCTCTGTTGACATCAGGAACAGAAAAGCTAATTCTGATCCTGAGACCAGATAACAAAGCACAAGCCAGTTAAGGCCCAATGATTGTGTATGTGCACAATATACCCAATCTATCTAGGTAGAAATGCATGACAAGTCACACAAGTTCTATAGAACACATAGGAGTGCCACCAGCAGATGCTGCCAATTACATGCTCAGCCTTGGGCCTGATGGGGAGGATCTCAATACTAAGAGCAGTGTAGTCCACAGGGCCAGGAAGGCTGGGAAGAATAATGTTTTTAGGAAACCTAAGTCCTAACCAGACTCATCCAAGGATGTGAACTTGCTCTGAAACATATTCCAGTGGCTTAGGCAGATGCTTTCTCTTACCTCCCGTGTTTCATCCTTTTCTCTCACACAAAAAGGATCAGAGAGCAACTCACCGTTCCAGCTAAAAGCAACACTAACATAATGGCCTGGAACTGAGCTCCCATTTTCGTTCCCACCTTAATCTTCCTTCCAGATGAACTGCCCTGGAAAGAAGCTCCCTCAGAAGGCCTCCGGGGATGCTCCAGGAGTCACTTGATTAATGCAATCTCACCACTCCCACGCAAAGCACTCCGTGACAGGTCCACAAGAACTTTGCTAACCCAAGTCTCCTCCAAACGTAGCCTGGTCACACTCAGTGAGAAAGTACTGCCGATCTTCTCACACCCCAATCTTTTCCCCAGCTCTCAAGGCTTTGCTGTCACCTTTCCCTCTGCGCGGATGTGGCCCCACTCCCTGGGCGGGGCAGATCCCTCAAGGTCTTTTACCATTTCCCCAACCACAGGTCAGCTTTCACCTCCTTGGAATCCCGCAGCTCTCAGCTCAGGGCTCCCCTCGCCCCAGCGCGTGTAACTAGCGATGGTCGCGAAAGCGCCTCAGTCCTTTGGCCAGACTCCCTGCATCAAAGACCATGCCCTGCGGACTCTACTACCACTGGCTGCACAGAGCGGGCCTAGTAAGTAACCCGTTGCCTGGTGAAGGCTGACACTAGAGGAACGCCGACGGTGAGCAGACGGGGACACCTCGGAACGCTGCGATCCTGAAAAGTGGGATTCACGACCTACGAACTCTGTGGAACGAATGCCCATCTGACCCAGGCAACCAGAGGCAACGGGGGTGCCCATCCCTCAGGGAACATGCCCTGGCGGACAGGGCAGGAGCCAGGACCGCAGCGGCCCTAAATCCGAGCCTAGGGGCTCTCGCCCGTCACCTGTGGGGGCCAGGCCGAGCCGCGCCTCCATGTCCCTGTCAAGGACAACTACAAACGGATCTCGTTTCACAGGCTGAAACCTACCTCACGAGGAAAACGTAATCGTCGTGGGGGACGCGCGGCCCAGAAAAGGGACGAGCCCTCTGGGGGCCGCCGATCGTGACCGGGACGGACGCCCCGGGAAGCCCGAGGGCCCCGCGCGCGCAGGGGTGGCCACCCTCGCCCGACGGGACCGCGGGGCACCGGGCGACGCCGGGTGCGCAGCGCCTCCCGGAGCGGGGACGCGAGGCGGCGACAGCCGCTCGCCGAGCCGTGCGAAGGCCCCTCTAGGCCGCGGCGGGCCGGGACACTCGGTAGCATTAACTCTTTCCCGCCACCAGGACTGTACCGGGCGGACGGCCGCTTCCTTGCGCGAGGCCGGAGGCTGCGGCGCGGCTGCTCGGAGCCCCTCCCCCGGAAGCGCGTCACGCCGCTTCCGGCCGGAGCGCGGTGTCGGATGGGCCCCAGGCGGCGACAGGGGGCCTGAGGGCCTGTGCTGAGTCCCGGCCTGTGCCTCGCGGGGGCCCGCCTCTGAGCGGCGCGGGGCGCAGGGCGGGGACCTGCAGGTGAGCCCGTGGCAGGGGCAGCGTCTGGACCGGAGCTCCCGAGGGACACGGGCCGCTGCGCGCCGGGCGGGGGCGAGACAGCCATTGTCTGAGGGCGGCGGGAGCCTGACGGCGGGCCCGTCTCGGGGAGTTCCGCCGTCCGGCTCTAAAGGCCACCTCACCTATGCGAAGTCGGCGCCGGCGACCAACGCGGTCCCGGCGGTCGCGGGCTCTCCAGCCCGGCGTCTAGAAGCGGGGCGGGCGCACAGCCGGCTTTCCCGCCTTGCTGGCCGGTGTTACCGGGCGCCGGGGACCCGGGCGGTGCAGCTTCGGAGACGGCGACTTCGGGTGCCGAGCTTGGAAGCGTCCCCGTGCCTGCCGAGCACGCTGGGCAGCCGGGAGCCGGCCACTGGGGAGTACCGTGGCATCCGGGGCGGGTTTGGGTGCCGTTCCCGGGGCATCGCTCAGGGAAAGCAGGCTCCCGAGACTCTCCTCAGCCTGGCCAGGAAGCCCAAATGACCGTGGCAGAAAGGGCAGGTGGGCCGAAGGGTCACCCTCATCACCACCAGCTCCCCTCCTCTCCTCTTTTGCTACTAGGTCTCTAGATAAATATCTGTAAGCAAAGGTCAGCTGTTATTATTGTTCTGGGCCAAGTAGGGAGAGATTTAAAAATCCAGGAATGAATCGAGTGCCCGGTGCCCTTTTACAGTTCTTGCCAAAGGAGAGTGTGGAGCATCTGGTTACTTAATTGGGCGATGCTAAGGCTACGTCTCCCTAATGACTTTTCTTCTCTGGTGTCACTTCTCTGTCCCAGGTGTGCTGCCAGTAGTCATAAGGTGGAATTGAGAGTCTGGAATGTCCCACGCACTGTGGGCTTTCGTCTTCACCAGAGGATGAAGGGTCAGAGAGGTTGAGGTTGTACCCCCTTACTGTAGGCAGAAGATTGGGATGACAGGTTAAGATTGAAGAGGAACTCAGAACGTTCTCCTGATGGTCCCTTGGCATGGGGAAGGTGGAGTCGGAAGCACAACAGTGAACTCTTTGGATAAGCTGCTTGCAGCCAGAGGGTGTAAATGTTCTCAGTGTCCAACCTCTCCTGAAAAT